ACCACACTCTACACACAGGCAATCTCACAAGCTGGCGCCAAACACATGCACCATACACTTTCCTGGCCCATTTGTCCTCTAGTATCCCACTTGTGGAGACACCAGAGACCATTTAAAAGCAAACACAGCGCAAGCATGTTATTACATTTGCTTGCGCTGCGCAGAACAAATACAGGGCCTTTTTCTAATGCTAGAGCTCTTCAGCGGGCTCTGCGCATTGAACCAACATGCTCACTTTCAGAGGGGGCGTACTTGTCATTAGTGATGACAAAACACACCCTCTCTGGCCCGCCCCCTTCTTGGGGGGCCACTCTAATTGAAAATTGCCCGGGCCTAATTTTTTTCCCAGTCCGGGCCTGGTCCACGGTAAGACAAATTGTCTATAACTGGAGAAAATTCAGCACTGCTGCTACTCTCCCTAGGAGTGGCCGTCCTGTAAAACTATTAATCCGTTTAGTAAAAAGTCAATTTCTCAAGAAAGGGCTTGGCTCTGCTGATACTATTTCTTAAGACAAGCAGGACCAGGGAAATGTGACAAAAAATATATAACAGTTAAAATAAAGTGAATTTGAGAGTGGGCTAATGCATCATCAGAAGAATCTGTTCAATACTTGGAGGGGGGTTACCTGTTTAATTCCCAGCAGGGATAACGCGGCCCTTCATCCTTTGGAAGTAGATAAAAGAGGTACCATTAAATTGGGCAAAAGTAACATCCCCAGGACAAACTTCAAAACCAGCTAATATCTGAATGTACCTTTCTTGGTTAAATACTTTGTTATTGTTTTTGTATATATTTGATATTCTGGTCAATCAGAACAGATTTCAAAAAGCAATAAATACTTTTAATTAGCACCATTTTGTGAAATAGGCTTGATAAATTGCCAGCAGGGCAACTGGCATGACTTATGAGTAAGAGTCAATTCAACTCCTGCCAGTGGCAAATTATTAATCCATTTAATAAATAGTAAATTTCTCAAGAAAGGGTTTGGCTCTGTTGATACTATTTCTTAAGACAAGCATGACAAGGGAAATGTGACAAACAATATATAATAGCTAAGATTATGTGAACTAGAGAGTGGGCTAATGCATCGTGTAAAGTAGGGTTTTCCAATTAATTTTTCCCTTGGAATCCTTTGACATGGTATAGCAAAACTTTGGATCCCCAACAAAAAAATGTATGCCATAGACTAGCGCAGCGCAAACCTTTCAATGAGTAAATGAGTGTAAATGTTCTCTTTTGGCAAATTCTTTTTATATCTGGTTTAATTGTTGACAATTGTATTCGCATGTCCGCAGTTGCGCCAAGTCGATTTTGATATTTTGTTTTTGTTGCAGAGTAAAGTGAGTATGTGCTGGCGAATGGCAACAGAACTTTGATTGCCTGCTTGGACAATTCTGGGTATTCTTTGCGTAAATCACCCCCAAAAAGCAATAAGAGAAACTTATTAAAATTTTTGGCTTAGTTGACTGTCAGAAGTTATATCGATCAGATTCTCAAAATTTACATCAGAAAAATTGGCTAGCTTGTCTTTTATGAATGGATTTCGAACCCACTCATTATTGTTTTCATTCAAAAATGGAAAATCCTGATTAATATACCGTATATACTCGAGTATAAGCCGACCCGAATATAAGCCGAGGCCCCTAATTTTACCACAAAAAACTGGGAAAACTTATTGACTCGAATATAAGTGGGAAATGCAGCAGCTACTGGTCTCGCGAGACTTACACTGTAAACAGAACGGAGCTGACCGGGGAGCTGCACGGAGGAGGAGGGAGCTGACAGGAGCTGCAGGAAGGTAAGTAACCGCTCAACAAGCCCCCAACAGGACCGCCGGGTTTGTAATGAGCCCGGCGGTCCTGGTCTGTATTGTGGCAATGTAAATTGCCACGATACAGACATTGACTCGAGTATAAGCCGAGTTGGGGTTTTTCAGCACAAAAAATGTGCCGAAAAACTCGGCTTATACTCGAGTATATACGGTATGTGATTAAATGGCGAAGATGATCCACAATTTGATTGCAAATTTAATCTTCAAGTTTAATTTATGATTCTTCAAGAAAATCCTTAAGTGTTGTCAAAGAGTTCAAATTATTTTGCTCAACAGATGAGGTCCAAAACTGCAGCTTATGAGACAGTGAAAATATTTTATCTCTTGCATTAAAAATATTAGTGTTTTTTCCTTGGAGTGATAAACATACATCATTTAATTTTGTGAATATGTCTGCAAGATATGCTACATATTCCTTAAGACATGCGATTGGGCTTAGGTTCGGATGACCCATGAACCTAGGATAGAAGAAGTTCTTATCTCCTCCGGGAGATGTCGAAGGATACTCCTTCCGGTGTGAATACCTGGACTTGCCAATCTAAAACTCTGACGTCAGATACACGTTTGCATGAGAGTAAACAAAACAGCATGAGTAATTTGGCCGATAACTGTTTCAGAGATAATATGGAGTTCTGAGGCCAGGTGTCTAGGAGGTTTAAGATCACATTCACATCCCAAAATGATCCATACTTAGGTTTTGGGGGACGTGTAAACCAAATGCCCTTGAGTAGATGGAAAATCAATGGATTTTGTCAGATTGGGAAACCATCTAAACTTTCACGACCTGCTTAGATTGCTGACCGGTAGAGATAGACAGTACGAAAAGCCTTGCCCGATTCGAAGAGGTGAGTAAAAAAATTATATACCATCTTTACAGGAGCTGATGTAGGATCCACCGACCACTCCAGGCACCAATCGGCCCACGTTTTCCAGGCTGCGTGCTAGAAGCGTCATGTTCCTGGAGCCCAAGCGCTTGCCAGGAGTTGGGTAGTTGTGTGTGAAACATCTTCGATTGCCAAGGTTCCCCCAAAATGAGCCATGCCAGTAGGCCGTGGATATGATAATGCATCCGTTGACATAGCTTCTGGGTCCGGTCTCCAACTGAAGAACCGCGGAAATTGAGTGTTCAGTCTGGATGCAAAGAGTTCCAATTGTAACGGCCCCCAGAGGCGGGCAATCTCCCTGAATATAGACGGCCGAAGTTTTCAATCCCCCATGTCCTTCAGGTAATGGGAGTTCCAGTCTGCTGTGTAGTTCTCCAGACCTGGGAAGTGTTCTGCCATTGCTGATATATTTTGTTGCAGACAATAATGTCATAAGTCTCTGGTCAGTACCGCTAACATTCGTGACTTGGTTCCACCCAGGTGGTTGATGTAGCAGACGGCGGAAACATTGTCTAGTGTGAGGAGAATCGAGCAAGAAATGTACTTGAGAGAGAGACTGTGAATGGCAAACGAGATTGCCAGCAGTTCCAGGCAGTTGATATGCAGAAAGGATTATTTTGTGAACAATCTGCCTCCGGTGGATATGAGACCGCAAAGCGCACCCCAGCCATGTAAGCACGCGTCTGATTCTATCACAAGATCTGGAGTGGATCCGAAAATTGCTCGCCCATTCCATGCTTCCATGTGGGCCAGCCACCAGGTTAATTCTTCCCTGGATTCCTCGTTTAGCGAAATGCATGTTACGGATGAATGGCCACTTCTCAGGTAGGATGCCTTCAGTCTCTGTAAAGCCCTGTAGTGTTATGGGCACGGGAAAATTGCCTGGATGGAGGCGGCTACCAGGTCGATGACCATCGCTAGTTGCTGCAGGGATATGTCTGGACAGTTCATTAATTGTTTAATCTCCTTTGTAATGTTCGAAATATTCTCTGCCAGGAGGCATAGAACTTGTTGGATGGAGTCGACCCGAAATCCTAGGAACTCCATACGTTGAAATGGTTGTAGAATTGACTTTTCCCAGTTCACCAAGGAACCTAGGTTCTGAAGGAGGTGTATGGTCCAAGTAAGATGGACGGTCAGTTGTTCCTGTGTTTCTGACAGTAGAATGGTATCGTCTAAGTAGATGATTAGTCGTATCCCGTGTATTCTCAGGAAGGTCAACACTGGTTTCAGGACTTTCATGAAGCACCAGGGGGCAGATGACAGGCCAAAGAGCAGGCATATGAACCTCCATTTCCTTGCTTCCCATCGGAATTGTAGCAGGTCCCTGTGTACTTCTGCCTTGGGAATCGTCAGATACGCATCTTTCAGGTCGAGTTTAACCATCCAATCCGCCGGTAGTAGCAGGTATCTGAGGCAGTGAATGCCCTCCATTTTGAAATGCAGACAAAGACATTCAATGGTCGTAAATTTATGACAGGCAGACGCCTCCGCCCTTTTTTGGGACCAGAACAAGGTTGCTCACAAACCCTGGTGTACACCAAGGGATTTCTTCTATAGCATTTTTTGCTTGCAATTGCCTGACATCCGTGGAGATCAGGTCGTGATGTTCTGTGGACATCATGACCATAAGAGGTGGAGTGTGCTGTATGGGTAAGCCGGTTAATTCTAAATGGCACCCCTGGATAGTGTGTAGTACCCATGTATCAGACATAATCATAGCCCAGGCTCGGTGAAATAGAGACAGCCTTCCTCCACCTTTACATGGGAAAAATGGGGATACACAGTAATCACCATAAGGGCGTTTTCCTGGGGTCATTCCTCGACCGCCTCGAGCCGTCCAAGGACGTCCTCTAGTCGGGAAGAAGGGGGTGTAGGTGCATTCCCACCCCTGTCTAGATTAATGGAAGGAGCCTCTGCCCGGTCTGTTAAAGCCCAGGAGATTGCGGCTGGACTGACGGCTCCTACCTCTACAGGCCCCACCGAAAACTTTCTGGTGGAACACTCGTTTAATGGAACTCTGCCCCTTATCTAGCGCTGTGAAGCTTTTGACGTAGGATCCGAGGTCATTGACAAAGGACTTGCCAAACAATAGGCCTTTAGTGGCCGTTCCAGGTTCAGTGGTGGCCGTGCTAGCCAGCTTAGGTTCTATTTTGAGCAGGATAGCTTTCCTGCATTCTGTGGACATGGCCAAGTTGGCATTGCCAACCATGCACACCAGGTGTTGTAACCATCCAAACTTTCAAATAGTTTAATAATAGGGCCTAGTGTGTCCAGGAACTTATCATTGCAATTCCGTAAGGAGTGGTCTAGGCCCTTCCAGATGGTTTTTGATAGAAATTGTACGATCTGTGACCGCCATGTCTAGGATAATGGGTCGGGGGCATTCAGCTCTCAGTTTATTATGGCCCTCCTGGGAGAGGGGTTTGTGGACCTTCAGTGCCAAGTATTGTGCAATATGCTCTGGTGGCTCCCATTCAACTGAGCACAGATGGCGCAAGTCATCCAGGTCGAAAGCCAGCGTAGGCTCATCTGGGTTATCTCGGGCCTTTTTGGACAGAGTGGTGGCCAATTGCATCCCCATGACGTTCTCATCCTCGGAAACCTTGTCCTCATAAGGGTCTGAAAATACCTCATCTGAGCCCTCCTCATCACTATAGTCCAAGTCAGACATGATCTCATAGGCCCTCATCTGTTTCCAATGTCTGGCCACTTTTGCTCGGCTAGTGGCTCTATTGCGCAGTTGTTGCACGCCATCTTGGACAGCCTGAGGCATGTCCTTCAAACCAGGGTTATCCTGGATATGTGGAGGGGGATCAGGGTGTTTACGCTTGCTCGAGGTCTTGTGGCCTGGCAAATGTATGCTGGGCATATCAGATGTTTGTGGAGGGGCCTGGGTTCTAGGGTGCCCTTTCATCAATGCCTGAGTTATGGACCGTGTAATTGTGGAGGACATGACCCCCATGGCCGATGTTAAGGCCTTTTTGATGGAGTTTGTCGTAGTTATGTCCAGTAGGGTTTGAAATTCCTCTGAGGCCATCATATTGGCATCGTCTGCAAGTGGCATGCAGTGAAATTTTTTGCTCATAAATTGTTTAAACATTTTTCTCCTCAGCTTGAATAAAACTCCTTCCTATTTGCACTACTCTGTGAATCCTTTGGAATTTTTTTTGAACACTTTTAAGGAACAGCGGATCCCTTCAATGGTGCTCCACGTGTGGTAGCTGACTCTGTTGGGTTCCCTGAGTGCAACACTAGCTTTGAAATTGGATCCTCATGCACAGCGTAAAGACATCCAGCATCTTTTCATGGAGTTAAACTCTGTAAAACAGCATGAAGCGCCTCTTATGGCAGTCTTAAACTTGCAATATAAACATTGCATTTTTTTTCTGGAACTGCAATGTTTTAGAATGCAGGGTTAAGGGGACATTCATGATCCTGTGCAGGTCAGGGATGAGACTGAAACTGGTGTTAATTGCGGGGTCTTTATTTGTTATCTTAGACATTCTAGTAAGAACATGATAGCCTATAATTGAAGTTATAGGCAGTGGCGTACTAAGGGGGGGGCGGGGGGGGCGGTCCGCCCCGGGTGCCAGCAGGGTGGGGGGTGCCATGGCCAGCCCCCCCGCCATGCTGCAGCCGCCCAAGCGCTCTGTATAGAGCCTCAGGCGGCTGCAGCTTTGCCCGGGCGGTGCGTCCATGAGGGCGGACCGCACCGCCCGGGCGCAGCCTGAGGAGAGGCTGACAGGAGGGAGCACTCCTGTCAGCTCCCTCACTGCAGCATGGTCCGACGGGTACAGGGAGCAGCTGTCTCCTGTACCCGGCCGGACTAACAGGAAGTGCACAGAGTGTGTGCACTTCCTGTTAGTCCGGCCGGGTACAGGAAACAAAAGCTCCCTGTACCCGCGGACTATACTGCGCTCGGCCACGCTACAACTGAGGTAGGGGGGGGAAAGTAGGGGGAGAGGGGTGAGAAAAAGAAATAAGGGGGTGAGAAAAGAGATAAGGGGTGAGAAAAAGGGGGTGAGGGTGAAAAGAAATAAAGGCGAGGGTGAGAGAAATGAGAGAATAAGGGGGTGAGAAAAGAAATAGGGGTGAGAAAAGAGAAATAAGGGGGGGTGAGAAAGAGAAATAAGGGGGGGTGAGAAAGAGAAATAAGGGGGGGGACAGACACACATACACAAGCAATGCAACCGTTACACACAATGCATCCCTTACACACACAGAAACACACAATGCATTCATTACACACACTCAATGCACCCCTTACACACATTCAATGCATCCCATACATACACAGAAACACACCTTGCAGCCCTTACACATACAAACACAATTTCACACAATGCATTCCTTACACACATATCAGGACATCCCCTACACACTCCACCCCCTGTGAACAAACTCATTGGTGGAACATGAAGGTGGACCCTGGGACCCAGACCTTGAGCTGTGTAAAGGACCCCCAAAAAATGGAGCTGCTTCCCGTTCTCCCAGAACATTGATTTTTGTGACCACAGTTACAAACCGCCTCCAGAGAGCCTGTTCTGCACCAGACCAGTGGAGCCAGACTGCAGCTAGAGCCCATCATCATCCTCATCTGGTTGTAAGTAGGCAATCTAGTATATTATTCGTGGCACTAAGCTCTAATTTACCTCACATTAAAGAAACACTATAGTCCCCAGAACCACTTCAGCTTAATGTAGTGGTTCTGGTGTCTATAGCCTGTCCCTGCAGGCCTTTTAATGTAAACACGGCGGCACTGCAGCACTGGCGTTAGTTAACATGGCAAATCATATGGCTGGGGCATTGTGATGTCACATGGGGGACGGCAAACTTTACTTTTGCCTTGGGCGGCAAAAATCCTTGTACCGCCCTGGCTGGAGGGGGCTGTGTGAGCTGTGGCCGCACAGTGTCCCATGGTAGTTAGGGTTCCGTGCGGCCAGTACAGCTCACTCAAGCAAACAGCTGATAAACTGGCCGCACAGAGGAAATGTGTATGTGTGACTGTCTGCCTGTGACTGTGTGTGACTGTCTGCCTGTAACTGAGTGTGTGACTGTCTGTCTGTAACTGAGTGTGTGACTGTCTGCCTGTAAATGTGTGTGTGGGGCTGCAGGGATTTTGTAGAAGGGGGTGGGGGTTTTGTATTGGGACAGGAGTCTTTATAAGGGGGGATAAGCAGGGGATTTGTGGAAGGGGGTTGCGGGGGTTTTGTAGATGGGGCAGTACAGGATTTGTAGAAGGGGCAGGACAGAGGTTTTGTAGGAGGGGCAGGGCAGGACAAGGGTTTTGTAGGAGGGGCTGACAGCGGTTTTGCAAAGTTTACAAATTGTAAAAATAAAAGAAATAAAACCTTTAACATTTTTTACAGGTTTTTTTTTTTTGGGTGGGGGGGGGTGCCAAGCACAGGATCCGCCCCGGGTGCCAAATGCTCTAGGTACGCCCCTGGTTATAGGAAAGAAAGAGTGAACAGAACAGAATGTCTGAAGTAGGTAGCCTATGAAATAAGATTTAGACTACAAGCCCAAGGTAGAAATAAGGTACACCTATTAAAGAAGTTATAAGAAGGATAATTGAAGATAACCCTATAAGAGATTACAGGTACAATATAGAGGGGTAATAGGAAGCATGGTTTAGGAAATATGCCCCAAAACAGGATATAAAGAAACAACTAAACAGAACTAGACAAATATAAGGAATACTTAATTAGGGTTGTAGTTGTTCAGCCTCTTTGGATAAGAGGTTATATTGTAGTAGCAGGTCTTTTTTTGATAGATGCAAATATAGTTTGGAATATCAGTAAATCCAATAGTAGAAGAAGAAGTAACATAGATAGCCACAAAGTAAATTAAACTCCAGTATTGATTTAAGCAAGTTGGATGTCTAGCAGGAAAATAGGGTTTGTAGAAAAGGCAGGAATGAAGAGTTGTACAGTATAGCAGGTTATGAAGCCAATAAGGAAATTCCACAGGTAAACTCAGGAGCCAGGATATGAAGTCTTTTCAGGCAATCATCAACTTCAATGTCAAGGTCACTTGCTTCGTCAGGTGTGGCCTTTTATAGCAGAACTTGATTTCATGTTATACAGGTGAGAGTCTGATATGACTAGTGGCTAGGGAGGCCACTAGAGGCGAGAAACAGGAACTGGATTTAAAGCAACAGTATCAAACGGAAAAAGTCTTGCTAGTCATGATAGGAACCTGACAGGGACAGGCACAGTAAACCCAGACCACTTCAATGAGGTGCATATAGTGTTCTTTTAACATAGAATTTTTGTTACTGTTCCTACTCTTTTCCCCTCTATTGGCTACTTTTTTCTCACTTGATCTTTGAACCAATTGTTTGGGAAAATGGCACTAAAATATATATATAAAAAAATTAATATTATGTATATATTTTGCAGTTCATTTTTATTGACCTTTTTTGTTTGAATGCCCCCATTGACTACTTCCGACTAAACCATAAAGTCACGTGAACGAGTGTCGGACATCCCCAACAAAATTTCAATTTTACAAAAATTATTTGGTTGAACCAATCTTAACTGCCATGCATATCTTGCTAAAAAGATGAAGACATACTAATTTATCATACCTTTTTTATGTTTTAATATAAGGCAAATATTGTCCTCCCTCCAATAAATCCATTTAGTGCTGTAGTTGTGCTTTTCTCAGCTTGTGTAAAAGTAACTTGCTTTCTTGTACTACCCTCTAGTGATATTTTGGGGAAACACACTTATTTTCTGTATATTTGTGTGTGCATATAAAGAATGAGATGGAAGCAGAGAGAGGCAGAAACAGTGAGAATATACAAAGGTGAAATATTATGAAAAATAATATAATTGTCTTTTACCCTCTTATATACACTACATAATTATTAATCTTTTATAATAAATAAGCTTAAATCCATTTAGTAATGATCTGGAAAATTCAAATCCATGTTTCAGTGTTTGCAGATGACAAAAAAAATACGTAATCCACTCTAAGCAGGACATTATTTCTCTTTAAAATTACTTAGATACATCCAGTGGCGTACTACGTGGGGGGCGGTCCGCCTGGTGCCAGTCATCAGGGGGCTGCCCAGGGTGCTGAACTCCTTGTGACCGGAAAGAGAGGATCTTACTGCACAGAGTGTAGCGTGACTGAGCTAGCAGACCGTGGTAGAGGAGCCTCTTTTGAAGAGAGCACAGAACTTTTGCCTGTCGCACTTGCTACAGAGGGTCCTTCGCCACAGAGCTTTTGCCTTAGGTGAGCCTGAGCAGGCACGGGGAAGGAATCTAACATGGGCACAGGAGGGGGGACAAAAGAGGGACAGGAGAAGGGGCTAAAGAGGGCACAGGAGGAGCGACAAAGAAGGGCATAGGAAGGGGCAAGGAAGGGCACAAAAGGGGAGGTGGAAAAAGAAGGGCACAGGAGGGGGGGGACAAAGAGACACACCAATGGGCTGGGGTAGAGGAAAGAGAGACACAGAGGGGTTGGGGGAGAAACCAACACACAAAGGGGTTGGAGAGAAACAGATGCACAAAGGGTTTGGGGGAAGAAAAAGACACAAAAAGGTGCTGGGGGGACACAGAAGTACACAGAAGGGCTGGGGGATCAAACCGGCACACAGAAGGGCTGGGGGAAGAGATACACAGAGGGGGATGTGAAAAATAAACACAGAAGGAAAGGGGAAGAAGGAGAGACACTCAAAGGGGGTTGGGGTGAAAAGCAGCCAAGTGTAAGGTGAGATGCGATGTAGAATAGTGCAAAGTTATGGATTTTGGTGATGAGGAACCCACAACCAACGTTACATAACTGTTAATGAGGATAAATATAAAAAGGGGAATAAATTTATGTCAAAACTAGTTTTATGCCTTTTTATAAATCCACATTAAGACCCAATATTAAATATGTAATGCAATTTTTGGCACCAGTCTTATTTAAAAAAGTGCAAAGTCAATAGGGGGAGTGGAAAATTCTAGTTATAAAGCAACACTAGAAAAACTAAAATTGTTTACTTTAGAAAATATGCATTTAAGATAGGATATCATGTAGTCTGTACAAATATATATATATATATATATATAT